TGTGGATTAATATATGTAATATATCTTTTTCACGCAATATGATAAATATTAATTTTTTTCTCGAAAAATGCTTTTATGCGTGACTGCGTATAATTTTCTCGCACCCTCTTCCTACTTGGCTTTTTCGGTTTTCCCCAAGCCACCCTATTTGATACTGGCCAGTTGTATTGCTACAAATGTCGCCCTCTTGCTATTATAATGAAACTTCTGGAAAATTTATTTGTTTTTCACATTTTCACTGGGGAAAAATGTTCGTAGGCGGAAATTAAGAGATGGAAAGACGCCCAATAACACTGAAAGCTGTTTCAATATAATTGGCTGTTAACATGAATGCGTGGCGAATGAGCATTAAAATATGAAAAATACCGTTCAACCAGGCTGGCTCTAATGCTCATTTCATCGGTCAAAGTGGTAGAAAATTACAAATTAGAATAAATGAACATATAAAGTTGATTGAAAAATTCAGATCTTCACTTAAAGATGAACATAAACCAATGGTTCTTTTGTAGATCATCTCATTAACGCCCAACACAATTTTAATTTTGATTTTATTGATGATAGTGTAGTTTCATCAAAAAGGCTACTCAACTCACATGAGATTTTAGAGATTGATTAGTATATAATCTGCATGTAACTTCGATAAATAATAAACAAATACATTTTGATTGTGTAAAATTTCCCTTTCAGTTTGCCAATGGAATTCTTTTCTATTCTATTATTTTCTCATCTATCATTTATATTCTCTATCGTCATTTTCTTCATTTGTTCCGGGTTACATAGTCCTTCCTAGCTGGCATACATGTAACGTCCTTATATTATTTTTTTGTGATTCTTTCTAGCTGATATAGCCCCATGTCCTGTCGTTCTGTGTCCTAACTTCAACTCGTCATATCAAAGTTATTCCGTCATATTGTCATTTTTCTAACCGAAGTTCATTCATTGCCACGTTAATCCTTCAGAGTTTATTAGAGCATGACCGTGTGATTTTTTACCATCTGATGCCTGAGAACTCCATATTTTTTCTCAAATTCAAAACGAAGTTCAAAAATGAAAGAAAAAACCTTTATTCTTCATAAGCACATATAATATATATATAATATATATATAATATATATATATAATAATGACTTTGCCTTCTGCCAGAGCTTGATGTTCTAATTCAATTCCTGATAGAATTCATTCACATTGTTATTATAGCACTTTTAAAATCTATCTTCAACCTTTCTCGTGCAATGAATAGTTATGTGTTTACGAGCCTTGGCCTCGAATAGTGTTGATTGTTGTTAAATAGCTATGAAACCATGAAACCCTATGATACTAAAAGATAAAGCCACGTATAAATCACAATAAATAAATGAAATCTCATGTGTTTTTGAAAATATGGATTTAATGTAAAAGAAAATTGTTTTAGGGTACATAATTATTCTCAGTGGGTGACCTAACGGAATTTCTCCTCATTCAGTGGGTGTACTTATTTTGTATTTCTGCGAATCGTTGAATAAGCCCCCTCATTTCTGCCTCTGCTTCTTATTCAGCATGTTTTATCAGAATTTCCACTTTCTTAGATGAGTAGGCTATCACTTCATTTCCTGACAGAGTTGTAAGTTCAAAACATTCATCGCACCCTCATCCACGAAGAAAGTAAACGAACTTTCAATCACTTAGCAATAAGAAGTGAAGGGCCATCCAACGAGCCGTTACGATAGCAATTTCCAAGATTGGATATCCGGAATGATTTTATTGTTATCGTGTACAACTATGGGAATTGTGGTTAACTGGGATGGTAATGTGCCGAAATTACCAGAACATAGTGAAACTACACGAGATAAATATACGAGACTTGGGACTTGGAATTCGCGGTTGTGTTGAACTATTCCAAGTTCTGCAATAAGTACCAATGTTCCCTTCAATTATATTCGTATCGTTATTATCATAATATTGGAATTTGATTCTATCAGTAAAACTTTATGCTCATTTCAGGAAGCAATACCATGTTCGTGATCTTTGCTTTTAATCTACCATATACATGCTGATTCATGAAAACCGTTAGTTAGCTGAATTGGAAGATTGAGTTGTTCAACTTTACTGAAAGTCGGGAGTATCGTCTAATGGATAAAAAGCTCTTGAGATAAAATATTTGCTAACTCCTAGGCTATAGCACTTCTCCTTGCATCAGAAGTGGTTACAACTTCGTTATTTCAAATGGAACATCTTGTATTTCATTACATAATTATAATGAACAGTCCATATCGAGTTTGTTCCATGTTAAGTTTCATACTAGTTGCTGGATCGACCGTTCCGGAAGTTTTCAAATGATTTTCATGATAACAGTCCATCACAAAAACTCGAAAAAAAAAAAATGAAGTTTTAGAAGTCAGAAGTTAAAGGGTGTTGAATTGATCGATATCAATGTCAAGGGAATGAGTGATGTACGATACATTTCAGAGTGACTTTGAGCTCTTGACAGCATACGAGAAATTTGCATTCACATGCATTCGTTTTGTTTTATTATTGTTATAACCTTGCTTCGAATGTGATAACTCAACAACAACTTTGTCAAGTGGAATAAGTGCAATCATATTGGAACATTATGAATCAATATATACATGGCGGTAATTATGACTTCAATAAACATTGCTATTATCGAGATCAATTGCTTATATTCTTTGAATCTCATCAGTAATAACGCCATTGTTTTTTATATCTCTTGTTGAATTTATACGTGACTGCATGCAGTGGCAAAAAGTTTCCAATTTATCGAATGAAATCAAATTGTTAATTTCATGAAATGATTCTCTGCATTTCCCAATCGCTCTGGAATCTTTTTTGAGAATTTAATATTCATTTCAGAGAATTCCTTGAATAGTGAAGGTATTCGCCTTTGGGAGACGTAATTGGAATATTTATATTGCTTTTCACTCAAGGAGTAGGTTCAATAGGTCGTCGAAAATGAGATTTTCAATATCAAGGAAATTCTTCAACTCCACATAGTAATGAAATTCTTGAAACAGTAACATTCAGGATTTCTTCGTGGTTTGATATGTCAGCTTATATTAGTTGAACTAACAGAGATCTCGAATTTGAATATCCCCATCAGATCGAGGTCTCAAGATTATCATTCAATTCAAAAACATTGTTTTTGTGAAAAAACTTGTCAGGTGAAATAATTCGAAAGAATATGGAAATTCGATCAACTAATGGTAATCACACAAATAATGGGGTCAACCTGCTTTGAAGATGGTAGTAACCATCAGCGTATCCATATTACAATCACGAGTGAAATATGAGTCCTTTCCAGACTTGAAATGTACCATTGAAGTAAATCAAAATGAGTATAACATACCAGGCTAGGTACTAGGTGACCAAATCTTTACAAAAATGAAATGGTCAAAGACAGTATTAGGAGAGCGTACAAAAAGTATAATTTTTTTCTATGCATTATTTAGACAGTCCGAATTTTCTCAAAATTTATGATTTTTTGGAAAAACCCAATCGTTCAACATCAACCTCCGATTTTCTCATTCAAAATAACGGGAGTGCAATAAAAAAACATGAGATAAAAAATAATTATGGTAGGTAAACGATTGAAGAAAAAGCTCTATTTGATTGAAGGAATACGCAGCATAATGAATGAATGCTATCGAATTTGGAGTATATCATCATATCATTTCCAAGTAGAAATGATGAGACTTCCACATTTTCTGGTCACACTGCTGAAAATTGTATAAACAGAAAGGTTGGGGGTAAGAGTGCACCTACCACTCCTATTTCCTACTCACATTTTTGATTTGGGCATAAAAAAGCATATGTATATACATAACTTATTCATTCCACCACAAAGAGTTATCAAAAAATCTTTAAATCGTTCTCGCCATTTCTGGACGCATCATAATAGTTATTTGTTTTACTAGGCAGAAAAGTAGAAGATTTAATACCGCGGCTGGCGTTTCATAGCCTAGGAGTGGCCGAGGCTAGGAAACCAGCCAAAGTTGATGTAATTGAGGTTGTAGCTCATGTATTGCTTGATAATCTTATTCCGATGGAATTCGAACATAATACTATAGTTGATGCGTTTTAAAGCCAGTGATGGAGTCGGAATATCACGAGAAATGGCAGGTCAAAGAAATCATAAGAAGCCCTGAAAATTCGAATTATTCTTGATACATTTGTGCCAAAAGAAAGGTACCACACGTTATCATAGGGCGAATAGATACCCTGTTGTATTTTTGAAATATTAATTGTTGTCCAAGTTATTCTGAATAAAATGTTTGAAGGCCACTGAAGTATCAACGAAACCACAACGTTTCTTTAAATTTGATGGAAAGACAATTGAGTAATGAATAAAAAAACGATAAATACTACATGTTTATACACTCAATAAATTCAGAAAGTTGGTAATCTGCAAGGATTCAGCAAAAAAAGCTGTAATTCGGAAAATTTCAGAGATAAATCAATTAATAAAAAAACGAAATGCTCGCAAAAGAAGCCTCTTTCGTATAGGGTGCAAGCACTTTCTATGCCATTACTCAATTAACACACAGGGTGAATCAAAAATTAAGAATAAATCATGGTTCGAGTTATTCCACCACCATCAAGGAGGATTTGAAAAAATGTTCACCTCTTTATTTTTTTTTTGACAAATGCATGACCTACCAACAAATGAAAAAAAATAAAAATCGGCCTACTATTTTTTGTTATTTTTTTCTAAGAAGATAGGTCAAATATCAAGTGCGTCACTTTTTTTGGAACTGAGTGTATGAACTTTATTTCCTAAAATATCACAAGGTATCACCCCTTGAATTTTCTCGGTGTTATTTGGATACACCCTGTTTATACTGGTGCAATGAAGTCATACTCTTTCCATCAAAATGACACGACTCATAATATAGTGTTCTTAGAAAGAGTGCTCTTCATTTGGAATTTGAAAATAGTAAGAGAACACGTTTTTTTACTTAAATAAATAATTTATTTCACAAGCATACTGTATCACAATCAATATCTCACAGTCTCTGCAAGGTATAGGTCAGAGGATCATAAGTGTAAATGGGTCCACTTATCGGTTCAACGTTCTCATACCTAAGTCTCGCACTGAACTCCATTTTGCTGGCATCATCTGTAGTATCAAAATGAACCTTCTGCAGCAATCCACTTGGATGATAAACGTAATAAAATCCACGATCTCCATTCGTTAATGCTTCGTTCGGACCTGCATTGTTTCCTGATCCAACATCTTCTGTATCTGCGTCAACAGATTCAGTGGTGGTAGGCAATTCTGTAGTAGTCACTTCCGGTTCAATTGTCGTGGTTACTTCAGGAGGTCCGTATTCTTGGGAAGGAGGGCCATAGGAAGATTGAGGCTCAGGGAGGTTGAACTGCGCTCCCGAGGGTCTCCAGCCTGACGGTGGGTAAGGTGCGGAATCGCCTTCTAATCGTTCAAACTGCCTGGAAAATCTCGAGTTGAACCTCCTTGGGGGTTCAGCAACTACTGAGAGAGCGAGAATTAGGGCACAAACTAAAGATAATGGAAACATTTTGTTGGCTTATGCGAAACTGATGCCAATAACCGATGATGGTCGTGCTTTTATAATAGAGGATTTATCATTGAGTTTGGCCGTAACATATCGAGGATGACAATGACTAATTGATTTTGGCTGATCAAATATTCTGGTCATTTTCTAGCGATATGAATATTTAGATGCACTCTGAATGTATCGAAGGACTTCCATTTCGTTCATGGAATTGAAATTAGAATCACTATAATGGGGTTCAATTTGAAAGAGAATTCACAATTAGTAGGAGTAGTATAGTTGAAATGTAACCCTATTATGAGTTGATGGTGCATTGTTCACAGTGCTTTTTAAATTACTGAATGAATTCCTGTTCAGCCAAGCTTTCCATTTTCTCCTGAAACTGATCGATTCTCATTCTCAATTTACCACATCTATAAGGAAATATTTTATATACACGGTGATCCAGGTTTGGGTTATGACGACCGCGAGAATTTTTTTCAAATGGAACACCCTATATATTATTCAATTATGAGAATCATCATGGAAAACTAGATTGAAAATGAATTGCACATGGGGTTTGTATACAGTGCGTCCGTTAAATTGAGTGCTCTCTCTTAGCCATACTATCATATTCTTAGAAATTTGTATTTTGGTCATTGAATAGCATGGAACTTCGATTTTTATTAACAAAGAACATAATGACATAATGCTTTTTGATTTGTAATCGAAATATTCCATAACTCAGACTGATATATATATAAAAAAAGACAATTGGTAGATATAACGAATATACACAGGCCCAACTAGAACATTTAAAAAATCTCAATTTCCTCTAGAGAATCATAAATAAATCAAGCTAACTTGAAAAAAAACGAAAAAAGTAACAATCAGAAACAACGATTATGGAGATTATATATAAACAATATAATAACGATGATTTCAGATTTTTATATAAAATAACCTTTAACTCAGACACATTTTATCTAGGTGATTTGGGTTAAATCTTCATATTGTGGGCTCAGCCTTTTATACATATAGTTGAAATTTTTCCAATAATCTCTACTAACTGTCATGAGTAACTATGATCCAGAAATCAATGCTTTTCAAAACGAAACATTATTTCACTTTCGGTTAAATTGTTGACCGGTGATACTGAAGATGTTTCACTGATTGATACTTAGACAGACCATTGTCGTTCTAGATGACAAACTAGTTAGGTAGTTAGTAGGCAAGAGCTTATTGTACCTCCTCACGTACTAGGTCGCCTACTAGGTTTTCATTTAGATCGACAATGGACAGACCTTCGAGAAGGTATTCCCAATATTATTATTGTATACATCAATAGAAGGCATACCTTCTGGAGAATCTGTCTAATTCTGCAAACATTGTTAAACCGAAAGTGAAATGGTATTCCATCTCAAGAAGCTTTGATTTCTTCATCAATATTTCTTTTATATTCACCGCCAACTCATGACAGCTAGTGGAAATAATAAAAAATCACTTGTCAGCTATATGAGGAGACAATATGTTGATATTATTCACCCACTTTCGATACGATCATGAAAATATGTGATTTTACGCAGAATGTTTGTAGTTGATAATGGAACTGAAAGAAATTGAACATATCATATACCTTTTTTCCGAAAATGAAGGTTTATCGAACCATTCCACTATAGTGGTGCCCGCGAGAGTATTGTTTTCGAGAGTCTCGCATGGTCTCGTCTCGTTTTCGAGAAACGCACTATTCTCTCTCTTACGGCGGAATAATGTTGGATTAAAGTTTTTGTTTTGTTTATTTGTTTAGAATATACCTGTTACTTTTTATTTCATTTTTATACCTTTCGAATATGTAATGCTATTTTTTTTTCTTGTTTAGATGTATGATGTTAATAAACCTATTAGGTACCTACTTTTTAATGAATAAGGTTATTTTTGTTGTAATTTTCTCTTCCTACTTCTACAGTATACCTAAGAAGTAGGTGAAGGTAAATATCCCGTACTAGACTGGAATAAGATTATGCATGACGAAATTGCGATACATTTGCGAGACTCTCGTACGAGACGCGAGACAAGACGAGACTCAGGACTACGAGACGAGACTCGAGACAAGACTTCATATTTCATAGGCGAGACGAGACGAGACTGTATGGAAATCTCGTCTCGTTGGTCTCGTGTGTGAATCACTACTTTCCACATTTGATTCTAATCCTTCAGGTTGGGAAAATAGGATATATAAAAGTTAGTTTAGTTAATTGTACCAGTATTTGAACTCATGAAGCTACAGTGTGTTAGCAAACCATGTCATATGATTCAGAATTTTGTGAAAATCTTGTGTATGGATGTGTTTGTGTATGTAAATGGTGCGAGGTCTTTTGTTCATAATGAAAGCAAATATTTCAGCATCTTCTTGACGAAAAAAGGCTGCCTATGCATTGGATTCTATACCAGGGGTGAATTATCATTGAATTTAACTAAATTTTGGTATATTTTCATACTATTTGGACTTCATTTGGAGATTTATCTAAACGTACTAAGTATAGCATGGTATAGGTAAGTGCGGTCAACGCCACTTTCTCTGCTGATAATCATAATAATTTTCATGATTGGAATCGAACCCAATTCGATTCCAACTTTTCGTACGCATGTTGGAATAATTGAAAGAATGGGTATTATAAAGTTTCAAACCCTCGTTGGAATGACTTCAGATTTTACCATTAGGCCTTTCAGGTGAATGATTGCAATATTCCCCAGGATATACCTTCGCTAAAATTTCCAGCGTCTGAAATGTTTCAATTAATTCTCGAATAATGCTCTGGTAGGAAGTCGCGCAGCAATTTGCGGAGGCAGAAAATTGGCTAATGGTCACTTCGTAAGCATTACTGGCACTGAATTATTGAGTTCAGATCTAGATTTCTGAGGCCTTGGATTCACTAAGCCTCATTATCTGAATATCGCGATAGGAAACGCATTATACATGAGTTAGGTAGCAGTTCACTACATTAGATAAAGTATTAGCCACTAATGAGGAATATTCGGAAGATTTCATCTTGATTCACGTATTAGTAATTTGAATCGAATACTATTCTGATATACAGGGTGTTTGAAAAATTTGATACATCGCTCAATGGAAGATTCCCTTAAAAAAAGTGAGATAGGTATCGATGTTGAATATGGCTTCATTTTTGAGGGGAATGAAACCTTCTTGGAACCGAGGATTTTCCTTTTTTCTTAAAACAGGTCTGATTGAATGAAACTTCTTGAAGATAACGTTTTCATATACTTTGATTTCAAACTTGTGATTCCCGAAAACACAGTACCAATTATTTTCAAAAATCATCAAGTTCTCCATGTATTCAGATGATGAATGAAAGAAACATTGTCTTTCATCTCCTTCATCCCAAAATGATTTCGGATTTGTGAATACATATTAAGCGATGCCTCCATTCTTCAACACCATATTATCGAAGGTGATCCCACATCTGAAACTCATACTAACTTTATGACACGAACACAAAATCACATTACTAATATATATACATCTTGGAGCAATGGAATTCTACACTACTTCACTTATAGTTTATTTTCATCACTCTCTGAAGACGACGGCTCAACAACAACGTCGCAAAACAACGCAAACATTTTTGCGACAATACTTGTAATGAGGATCAAATTCTCAGAGGAGAGAGTTGCCACATAATATTTTTGTTGAAAGTCGAATGCCCGAAATCGTCTTTCGCCAATGCACTATAAGACACATCCTGGTTGGCGCTGTGAAAAGAATGAGGTTAATGGTGGTGTCAGAATCTCACCCATTATCTCCAAAAAGTGGGCACAAGGATTTTAACACCGATCTTCTCTAAGTTATTTACCCGAAAACTAGAGTTCAACCTTCATCCCTATAGAATGAAAGAAGAATCTGCTGCAACTACAGGCCTATTGCGCTGTTATAATAAAATCTTATATATATGAATAGATTGTCGATTGAAAGTATGATAATGATATATCGTTGAAAAGGTAATTCTATACTGAAGATGATAAATTATAGAAGAGAAAGTATAATTTGTATATGAAATATAAAAATTGGATGCACTCTCGGTCAAACCGGAAGTGTCATAAGTGGTCTGATACTGGCAGAATTATATCGAATCGAATTACCCAATTTGAAACATTAATTCGAAATAGCAACGAAGATACAGGGGTAAATTGATTCCGGGTCACCTGGTATATGCGTAGCGTAGGCATAGCAAGCTTAATTAGAAAAATATGGAGAACCCCTAGCTGTGGATAAATCAGAAGCATTTGAATCTGCTTAGTTCCATGGAATTCTCAAAAAATCTTTCCTGTCGAGTTATTTCAAGGAAGATCGCTTCAAAAGGTGTTGGACGGAGTATCCTTCAATACCATTTCCATCGAATCCCACATAAGTATCCATTTTGCACCAACATTGTTCCTACATGATTTCAATGATCTGCTATATCCACAGCTTTGCCGATGAGAGTACTCCTCATACAGCTATTTCTACAGAAATCAAATTTCCATTGTGGGAAACTAACAACTCACGACAAATGCTGATTGAAACTACCAATGAAGATCTTTCTAGAATTTCAGACTGGGAAACCTGGTTGAGTTCAACGCCATCAGAAGTCAAGCCTGTATTCACTTTAAGGAAGCCGAAGTCAGTATGGCAATATTTGGTACCACTATTTCCACAAAGTTTACAATATCTATGCTCGGCATCAGAAATACTCTGCCATGAGAAATTCATGTTAGATCCATTTCGAAGCTGCTTCACAAAATCTCGACTATATATTTTGTATGAAAAGCTACTTCAGACCTCAATAGCTTCTTCATGATCAACAAAAGCTCATATCCAGCCTGTTACAGAGTGATGCTCCCATATATGGGATACGCTGGTGATATCGAATTCCATCCAGAGACAAGATATTGGTCATATTTGGTACATTCATTAATTCCTCGACACGTCCGCGGAAGATTCTCTTCAGAAATCATTTCAGTCAGACGAATTCGGCAAGCTCTGTCATTACATCATCTTATCGTCAACTACGGGAAATGTCGAAATCTCTCTCAAC